CTGGCACTCTAAGCCTATTAGTAGCTCCCCATTCATAAAAAAGTTAAACATTTTTATGACCTGGGAACTAGCAATTGGCTTAGAGCGTCAACTGACCTCTCTAGTCAATCAGTGGCACCCATGCCTGACGTCAGTCTGCACTTCGTTTCAGAAGCCGAATACCACTGTGCGATCTGGAGGTGGAGGAAGCCTTTGGGGTTAAAATATTTGAGAGCGGTTTAATTCCTTAAAGGAAAGAGAGCACCCAGTGGCTTCCTGGCCTCATAGCATTTTCATTTAGATGAAATTCCTGACACCATTCCTGACACCATAGTTGTGAAAACGCTATTCACCCCGACTTTATGAGATAATGACTACGTCCCTTCCCTTTCATGACACTGTCAAAAAGGGACCAAGCATGGATGTCATTACAATTATGCCCTCCCTGGAAAAATTCCTGCAGACGCCCATGCGGTATCCCACTTATGAAGACACCAGAGACAAGTTAAAAACGAACACAGCGCAAGCATGTTAATAAAAATGCTTGTGCTGCGGATAACAAATACAGGGCCTTTTTCTCATGCTAGAGCTCTTCAGAAGAGCTTTGTGCCTGGTCTGCCCTGGAAGAGCATTGAACCAACATGCTCACTTTGAGAGAGGGCGTGCTTACATTGGTAATGACAAAACACACCCTCTCTGCCCCGCTCCCATCTCAGTAGGCGGCTGTGATAAAACAATGCGCAGGATTTTTTTTTTCCCAGTCCGGCCCTGTTTCCACACAATGGTTTGTACTGGCAAAAAATATATTTGTATAATGTTATCATATCCCCTCTGAGGAAATGTTTTTCTAAACTAAATAGGTTTAAATTTGTTAATCTTTCTTCATAGCTAAAATGTTCCATTCCTTTTATTAATTGTGTAGCCCACCCCTGCTCTATTTCTAGTGCCATAATATCCTTCTTTAGAACAGGTGCCCAAAATTGCACAACATATTCAAGATGTGGTCTTACCAGCGATTTAACAAGAGGCAAAATGATATTCTCATGAGAATCAATGCCCTTTTTCATGCATGACAATATCTTACTGGCCTTAGCCACTGCTGATTGACATTACACATTATTGCATAGTGTGTGGTTATCTCTAATTCACTTCCATTAAGGGTATAAGTTGCTTGTGCATTCTTGACGCCGAAGTGCATAACTTTTCTACATTAAATTTCATCTGCCATCTGTGTGCCCAGTCTATCTAAATCTCTCTGCAGCAGAGTAATATCTTGCTCACATTGTATTACTTTACAGAGTTTTGTGTCATCTGCAAACACTGAAACATGACTTTCAATGCTTTTTTCAAGATCATTTATAAACATGTTAAATAGAAGGGGTTCCGAAACGGAACTCTGAGGGACACCACTTGCCACCTCTGTCCAGCTTGAACATGTACCATTAATGACAACTCTTTGTGCTCTATTTTTAAGCCAATGTTCTACCCAAGAACAAGAATTTTCATCTAGACCGATTTCCTTGAGTTTGAACACTTATCTATTGTGTGGAATTGTATCAAATGCCTTGGCAAAATCCAAATAGATCACAGTGACTGCAACACCCTGATCTATACTTCTACTTACTTCTTCGTAGAATGCAATCAAGTTAGTTTGACATGACCTGTGCTTCATAAAACCATGCTGATTTTTGCTGATAACCACGTCAAGGAATTCTTGAATATTATCCCTTAATAATCCCTTAATATTGAGTTTCTCTAAGCTTTTGTCTGTTCTCAGAGTTTCCGTATTCTCTGTTTTTGTTCCAGGCAATCAAATTATTTCCTTCAGCATCTTGAAGGAAGGTTTTCCTTAAGTGCTCTTTAAATCTGAAGCTCCATAACCCTAAACCCTTTAACATAAACTCTCCTTAAGGCCCCATAATGCTAATGCTACAGACCTCTACCTTCCAGTCTAACTTATCTTAAACTCTCATCAAAATGTATACTTACCCTAGCAATGTCATTTTCAATGTTGCTGTTGTTGCAGTGTGATGCTGGTGAGTTTTTATAAATGTAGTTTCATTACTTAATCTGTATGGTGAGCTCAATTTTTAAAATGCTCCATTTAGACAGAGACAATGTAAAAATATATGTTTACGCCAGTCATTAATAACAGGGTTGAACCATATGCAATTTCACTATAATTACATCTCACTGAGCTCAACACTTTTAGCGTTATTCTTTGACCCTTTACCTTTCACCCCCACCTTTAACTCACCCTAAGTCCTCTCTAACCTTAATACCTAAACTCACTTATATCTAATTCTATCCACATCCTAACCATATTTGATTCCTAAGCTCCCTAAAAATATATAGGTGTGTTACACAGGGTTACAGTGTACCTAATGTTCTAATGATGCTCGTCATTGGAAACCATGCTGTAATGCTAATGTAATCTTTTTCAACGAACACTCTGGCTTTTATTAACCCATTCTTTTGTATTGCATTGCATAGACCATTCATTTAAAATATGGAAGAAAAAAAAAACAGCCAATCTAAAATTATAAAAATATACTGTTTTGAAAATATCCATAAATTACATCATCAAGCTTGAGTTTTGCTCAAATTACGAAGTAGCTTGAGAGGAGGCTCTCATTCTGGTCTGTGGAGTCCTAAAGGAACAATGTAGAGTCAGTAACATGTATTCCTGATCCTAGAGTTTTAAAAACACCATCTAGCCCCCCTTGCCCTCCTTAGCCACCTAAATATAATAAAATCTTACCTTTATTCCAGTCTGCAGCTGCTGCCTCTGCCCCTGATCTGCCTGCTTGGCTGATATCATCAGAAGTGGTGAACAAAGCCGATCACAATGCTTTCCCATAGGAAAGTATTAAATTGGCTGACCTTGTCATGGAGGCAGATCAGGGGCTGAGCGAACACAGCTCTGGCCAATCAGCATCTCCTCATAGAGATAAATTGAATTAATGCATCTCTATGAGGAAAGTTCATGGTTTCCTGGCAGATGTTAGAAACACTGAATGGCAGTGCTGCATATTGTGCAGCACTGCCCCAGGAAGAACCTCTAGTAGTATCTGAGGAGTGGCCAGTGGAAGTATCCCTAGGCTGTAATGTAAACACTGCATTTTCTCTGAAAAGACAGTGTTTACTGCAAAAAGCCTGACGGGAATTATTCTACTCACCAGAACAAATGCAATAGGTTGTAGTTGTTCTGGTGACTATAGTGTCCCTTTAAATGTCAATTCTATGCGCTCATTACAGCTTATCTCAGCCAGTTCAATACTGCCAATCTGGAAAGCATTGGAGGCAAGTGTGTATGTGTTGCAATCACCACACTGTGCCAATCAGCATATACTCAATGCATTGCTATGGCCAGTGTATAGATGCAGGACTGATTGAATATAAACATTGCAGGACCACAGTCCTCAGAAAAGGCCATGTTTACATTGCTGACACTGCACACATAGTCTCTTTGCGCCAGACTATTTTTGCACTTGAAGGAACACTCTAGAACCCTAAAGCTCTTTATCATGCTGAAACGTCTTATGTGTGAACAGTGTGTCTTTTTTTTTTTTTTTGCAAAAGTGCAGATTTGACACTTTTATAAATTAACCTGGTTACACTCTCCTGGCTTTCAAGCAGATAACCGGTCCTGTTACTTCATGGTTTGGTTAGCTCAGTGGAGCTAAACTCAAGAGGCAGCAATTGCCCAGAGCACCTGCTTTGCAAAGACTTCTCATTGAGCTGCATTGGGAAGTCTGTGATTGGACAGCCACATAAAGCCTGGGCTGAGGAAGAATGCATGCAAAGGCTTCAGACACAGAGATTTTCATGTTATTTTATTTTAACAATTTAGTAGATATACCCATGTGAAAATATGCATGCATTAAATTATGCGTTTTGTTTACTGAGGTTATTAGCTATAATCCCAGTTAAAATAGAATCATAATTTAGTGCATGCATCTACCACTGTAGATACTATCCCCTCACTATAGACCATATCCATCTCTATAGTCACTGTCCCCCATTACAGCCCCTATACCCCCACTGCAGCCACTATTCCCTTACGGTAGCCACTCTCCTTCCCACTACATCCCCTTTTACCTGACTACAACCCCTATTCCCCTACTATATACCCCTATCCCCCACTATAGCCACATTCTCCCCACTATATCTACCACTATAGATACCATCTTCCCCACTATAGCCTTTACCCGCACTATAGCACTATCCACCCCACAGTAGTTCATATCCTTCCACTACAATCACTATCCCCCCACTATTAGTCTCCCCCCCCCCAACATTGGCCCCTATCCACCACTATAGCTCCTATCCCAACACTATAGCCCTATCTCTCTGCTATAGACACTATCACCATCACTGCAGCCTCTATCTCTCAACTACAGACCATATCCTACTTAATCCCCCCACTAAAGCCCCTATTCTTTCACTACAGCCCTAAATGCAACATAATGCAGCCCCAATATAGACAACATAGACATAGACAATATAGACAAAAAGCAACATTCCCACACACATACAACACCACAAACAGCCTTTACAAACATACATGTACCCTCTCACGGTTATTTCCCACTTATCATCTAACCACCCACCTAGTAACATGTACCATTCAATCATACCCCAAACGAGGAGTATAACTTTACAGATTTGTTTGTTTATTAATTAGGGGCAACAAGGAGGGTAAATCAGCACCTGAGCTTACAGTTAAGCTAGACTTAAGAACAATTTCCTATGGGCTGTACCGGACAAATCAAATTCCTGCCAATTGGTTTTTATAACCAATCGATTCATTTGGCAATAGACTGACAGGCAGTCGATTCGTTCAGCGCAGCTGAAAGGGATTTGTGAACAATTCTACCTCACACTCTCTCATATTTCCATATGTAAATCCTTTAATAACCTGTCATAAAAAAACAAACAGTGGGACTTGCCAAGTGTACTCATCAAGTGTTTGCAAAACAATGAACGCATCATTTGTGTGAACATTTTATTTGCATTCTCGCAGAAGTTTCACCAAAGGCCTAGACCAGATTGGAAAATCACTAAATGAGAATCCCAAGTACCAAGTTAGTGTGGAATATGAAGCGTGGACTCCAAGCAGGGCCGGATTAACGTAGGGGCAGATGGAGCTGCAGCTCCAGGCCCATGCCCATTGCTAAAAAAAAAATATATTTTTATTTTACTACCCTTCACATGTGGATGTAGGGAAACAAAAGCTTGTGTGGATTGGCTGACAATGAAATTAGTTAATGTAAAGCTGACTTTGCGCACCATGCAAATGCTCTTGCTTCTTCAGTCTCTCTAACTCTGTGGCATGTTCCTAAGACTGTATAACAGGAGCTCCTGCCTGCTAGTAAGACAGTAAAGAGAGGAGTGGACAAGTGAGTGCTTGGGGCAGTTCTTAGAAATCATGGAGCAAGCGCATTAGACTAATTTATGCCAAGCTCAGGGTGCTGTCTGCATAGTATGCCCTGAGTTGGCCAGGCTGCATGATTGGCAGGCACCCTGACATGTATTCACGCCAGGCTGACCTTCTAATTCCTCGGGCAGATTTATTTGGGCATGATTGTGGTTTTGGTTACGTGATTCATGTCAGTGGCTCACCTTTTTACCCTGCCCACCAGGGCTGGACTGGGAAAAAAAATCAGCCCGGGAATTTAAAGGCAGGGCAGCCCAGTTGGAGGGGACGGGGACAAAAAGTGGGCGTTTCATGTCATCAATAATGACATGCACGCCACCTCAGAGTGAGTATGTTAGTTGGCTGTACCTCCAGGGCATTTCATGCGCAGAGCCCTGCTGAAGAGCACTCGCACCAATGCCCTGTGTTTATTTTACACAGCAGAGCTCTGCGATTGCTGGTGACATTGTCTCTGGTGTCCCTACCAGAGGGATAACAGAGGACAAAAGTGGGGTGTGACCAGTAAAGGGTGTTGTGCATGTGTGGGGTGGCTCTCTGTGGCACTGTATGTGGTTGGAGGCTGATTGTGAGATTGTGTGTGCATAGAAGTGACTGTTTGTGGTGTTGTGTGTGTGTGTGTAAACGAGTCTGGTGTACTATGTGTGGCTAGGGACTGTAGTGCGTATATGTTTCCACTGGATGTAAAGTGTGGGTCTGTAGAGATTGTGTGTGTATAGCGGTTGTAGAGAGAGAGAGAGAGAGAGAAAGCATTTGTGTATTTGTAGTACTTCTAGAGGGGGTAGTGTGCATGTATGTTTATTGGGACTGTTGTGTGTGTGGGGGTGTATCTAGGGGCTGTACCATGTTATAGGGGCTGTAATGTGTGTTTTTATGTATAGGGGCTGTAGTTTGTGTGAACAAGGTAGTATATGTGAACAGGGTAGTTTGTGTTTGTAGTGTAGTGTGAGTATAGGGGCTATAAAGAGGGTTTGTGAGTCTAGAGGGTGTATGTGACTGTCTATGTGGTGTAGTGTGTGTCTAGAGAGTGTGTGCATTTAGGGGCTGTAGTGTGCGTATACATGTATCTATTGTTTGTGTGTATGGACTGTAGTGTGTGTATAGGGCTACAGTGAGTTTGCATTAGGGCTGCTGTTTGTGTGTATAATGGTCTTTAGTATGTATTTATTGGGCTATTGTGTAGGGGGGCATAAGGGTTCAGACTGTAGAGGGAAACAAATAATACAATTTAAAAAAATAAAATCATCCAAAAAAAAAAAGGACATTTATTAGTTTAAAGACTACTAACACAACACATGTAATAATTGAATACACTCCCCATCTCCCCTCCTCCTTTCCCCTAATTTAATACACTCCCCATCTCCCCCAATTTCCTACGCTGCCCTCCCTCCCTCCCTCTCCTCCACCATGTATGTG